AAAAAAAAAAAAAAAAAAAAAAAAAAAAAAAAAAATATACCGTCGAATTGAATACCTCCTTCTTTTGGGAAGTCGGTCAAAAAGTGGTAATTAATAATTCTATTCATTAATTTTTTATTTTAAAGTTGGTTTTGATATCGTGTTTACAGTAAAATATTTCAAAAGTGTATTTCTATATAAACTAACGTAAATGAACTGTGTATTGTCAACACAGCGACGCCATATTAGATAAGCCACTTGCTTCGACCAATAGTGCGCGTTTTTGAACTTAGCGAGGGAATTTGAAAAAAAAACACTTTTTAATGATTAAATTTTGCCACTAAATCACATTATATTTAAAAAAATCTTTGCAGGAATGTTTTTATAGTAATAAAGTATGCTTAAAAAAAGTTTGGTACAATTTGGCGTCATATGCATATTGCCTATTACCTGTGCTTGTGTGCGAACAACCAGATTGGCCCCACCAGATTGTAAATTTCCTGATAACAATCCAACATCTAAAATATGTGATGGAAATATCGGACTGTCTTCCCTCATCTGACAGTGCTATTTTTAAGCTATCTGAGCCTCTATCAGCGAGTGGTAAGACAAGCCCTTAATCTTTTAGGTTCAGCGAGATTTGAGGTTTAAGTAGAGCTCCTTGGACCCTAGTACTCAGTAATATATGTTAATTAAAACGAATAGTGAACTTTTACTATTCTTGGCTAGTTTTTTGTGCAAAACTTAATATTTAAATTCAAACCATTATAATTTTTTTGTGTTGTGTAATGCGAAATACGCGTATTACAATACCCGAGGTCACTTGCGACTTCATTAGAGTAGAACATAAGTTGCCTAAAATTTGGACCGGTTTTAGAATTAACGGAGCTCTGGGCGAGTTTCTAACAGCGACCGAAACTGTAGTAAAAAAAGGACGTCATCTGCTAACTGCAATAGAAACAAAAAAGAGCACCCCTTTATTCCTGGCGCCTCGGCCAAGTTTTTTACAGCGACGCATAATTGGACTAAAAATCGCAAAAAAACATACAGACGAATTGAGAACCTCCTCCTTTTTGAAGTCGGTTAAAAAGCGTAGGTACCCTTTACACTCTGCGCTCCGGCCGACGCCCACGTCGCCTTACTTTACCGTCGGCCTATACTTCCTAAATCCCCACTAAAAGGATGTGTTCAGTTTTATAATGTCTCTTTGTTTGGCACAGAGAAAAACTAACGATGTACGGCCAACGGAAGACGACTAGGAAAGTAGGGCGATCGACGACTTAGTGCGTACGGCGGGAAGTCGTTGGATGCGAAAGGACCGATTTTTGTGGAATGTATTGGGATAGGCCTATATCTAACAGTGTGCATAATGTTAGATGTTCTTATTTCGTAAATCCCCTGGTAATTAATAGATTTATCGCTCCCCGCTATATCATATAATTTGTGACCAGCACCCTTCAGTTTGAGGAACATTGACATGAAGGTAAACTTGTGAATATTAACGACAATAATTACCATAATAAACAGGTTAGTTACAATTTAGCAAAACGCACGCAATTTTACTCGGACATTAAGGCCTTATTTATTCTTTTAATGACAACGAGTATACGACAAAAGAATAAACATTTTTAATTATCTTACGACTAGGTATTTTTATCCTTTTAAACAATCGAATTATTTTATTCTTTGATGACGCAAATAAAACAGTTTTTATTTTTTTTATTACCAGACATGCATAATGGCCTCTGCAGAAATTAACATAAAATTTGAATTTTGTCTCTAATTTTTAATTAACCTTCGTTTGTCTATAGTTTAGTGAATATTGTTTGAATATCAAAGTGAACACTATAAAAGTATTTCAATGGAAAGTTTTGTAGTTTTGGACTAAAGCTGTACATCTCTTTAAATAAAAAAAATTGTCCTATATATAAAAGAAGCAGCTAGTATGGTATCATTCAGTGTTTACTCTCGCTTTAGTGTTCACAGTGTGTTGTAATTACATAGCAGAATGTGGTTGACGTCCATAGCGTATTTACAACTAAAGGTTTTGTTACCGTGCATCGATGTTTTGTCAAGAATGTTTCTTTTAGTATCTTCCCTTCTACTCCAGACTCAAGAATATACACAGGCAAACGTCTCTGGTAAGATAGTTTTAAGGAAATTCTCGGTTGCTAGCGCTCCTGCGAGATATCTACGGGCGATCTTTTTTTATCCTATGGGGGGTTTAACAGACTTCAGAAAGCGCGCAACTTTGACTAAAGTATCCCACAATTGTGTAGTCTCGCTTTTCTATGATCTTATATGGAGGTGCGCACTACTCGGTTTCTAGTTGTGCAACTAAACAGTTGAATAGGCTACGAAACAATTGTCAATCGAAAAATAGATGTGCGATATTTTAGTCAAAGGTTTACGCACGCTCTAAGTAGGACTGTGAAATTCGCTGACTTTGGCATCCTGATCGGTAGATTAATTGCGCCCTATCCTAAAAAAAGCACTAAAGGAAATGTTCTAATGACAGCGTGTAGCCTAAACGATTTTGAGGACTGAAGTATAATTCGATTTGGTTTCTACCTTAAGTATAAGGGTACTGCCAGTAGACTGTTTTTGTAATTTAAAAGAATACTAGTAGTGATAAATCCTTAAAAAATCTCAGTTTTAACATTAGAATACAAATCTAATTTCGAGTTTGTTGACCATAAAAGGCACACCATGTTGATTTATATGAGAAATACATATGAATCAAAATAGCAAATGAATGAAATCTTTTGCAAGTTACACACGTTAGGTTTTGCATTATGGTTTTATTTTGTAGGTAAACTTGAGCCCTAGCGTGTGATAAAATTATTTATTTAGAACTTTGGCTACATCTTTGTTATTTGCTAGCAAAATACTGTATTATTTACTCAAACAGTTTATATGAGGCTTCGTTTTGAAGCCGTAAATTTCGCGGAAATATTTAGTATGTTTCTCTTTATCTTCATTACATCTTGATAGTTTAATAGGTCAATCGCATCTGCATACAATGACGTTTATCTTGCCATCTTTCTTTATATTACAAAAAAAATCCTTAGATAACTACTTTTTTTTTGTTGTGCGCCAAAGTAATAATTTTAACAGTGGTAGAGCCCCCTTTAACATCTTAGCACGAATGGGTCGGCTCGCCCGGTGTAATACCAAAACCACACAGAAGACAGGCGTGAAGTGAAAGCAATTCCGCGTCTCGTCTGATGAATGTGGTACCGGGGGTCTGATTTTAATCCCTTTCCCTTTCCACCGTTTTCTTAAGAGGAAAGGATGGGAAGTAAAAGTGGATTTGACTGTGGATGAGACGCATAGGAAGGGGAAATGTCCTCTTTATGTGCGTCTCCTCTTCCGTAAATTAAGGGTAGGCAACGCATCTGCTATTGCACATGTTATGGGCAGCGTTCGCTTGCCATATCGTTAGATTCAGGTGGCCGCTTGCTCGTTTGTCTCCTTGTATTATAAAAAAAATAATGTATTTCTATAAGGTAAAGTTACCTATCATAGACAGTAAAGGCGACTTTTTTTAATAGTTTTTTGCCTTTTGATTTCTTCATTATCGAAATATCTTCTTTGTGATTTAGTGGTTTATTAAAAGGTATTTTCTCAATTAGTTTTTAATGTTTATTTTAAGTTTAGTACTTACTACAATAAAATATTGTAAATATACAGTATCCCTACTTAGAGATCAACAATAAAGCCAACTTGGTGGGTTTTTTAGCGCAAGGTGTCCCGTGTCGTTCGGTTATTTATTATATTCCAAGGAATATATAAAAAGGAAATACTTATCTTTAAATTAAATGCATCATAATTAATTGCATAAAATTAATTTCAGTGCACTTACGTAGTGCGCACTTTTTATTGTGATTTTTTACTTTGGTTTTTTACCTTAGCAAAAACAATATTTTCAAGTTAATAATTGTGAATTATTTAGTTTGATCACAATTTTAAGAAGCATATGTAAATGATCTTGACAAAACTTTGTTATTTCCAGATGGCGATAGTTTCGATTTTATAGTGGTGGGCGCGGGGTCCGCTGGCTGCGTGCTGGCTAATCGTCTCACTGAGGTTGGCAACTGGTCTGTGTTGCTGATCGAAGCTGGAGAAGACCCGCCCCCTATTTCTGATGTAAGCATTTGTCCTTCAAATCCCGAACGCCGCTTGTTTGTTACTTTACGACGACGATATGACGGTGATATCTTTTATTCTTTCGCTTATTTACTAATTTAGATAATGTAATTTGCAGTGGCTTTCAGCGATAGAATAATCTAAAGCGCTGTTTTACGCTGGACAAAAAATACATTATGTAATTTAAAACCTAATAATTACAATGTTAATAATAATCTTCGTGGCAAATATTTATGTAAATTACAAGCAGAAAAAAATCTATTTCCAAACAAAGAGGTATAAAAAAATACAATTGTCTTAGAAGCGTTTTCTTAATAAGATTGATTGCTATGTTCAGTTGAATTTATTTACTATAATTACTCTATTTTTATCTTAATAAATAAATGTTGCGTAATAAAATGGCTAAGTTTGCAAAATAAAATATTCACTTTTTACTGTTTTTACTGAGTCAGTGGCGCAGTTAGTTATATCACTGATAATATATACTAATATTTGTTTCCATTTTGAGTTCTGTAGAGGGAAGAGAGCAATGCCTTTGCCTCATCTGATCGACACCTATTAATATAAGTACATTAAGAGCTCACGCACACTTTTAACTAAACTATCGCACAACTGTTTAGTCGCGCTTTGATTCCTATGAGCTCATATGGAGGTGCGCACACTACTCGATTTTTAGTTGTGCAACTAAACAGTTGGGGCTGCGAAACAATTGACAATCACACAACAGTTTTGCGATAGTTTAGTCAAAATTTGTGGGCCCGCTCTAAGCATGTTTAAATAAGCTTTATCATGTGACACATGCTCTCCACAACCAGGATACTAATTTATTTAATCCCAACAGAGTCCCGGATTATCAGTGTTGATGCCTACCTTCCTACCGGACTGGGATTATCACACAGTGGACGATGGTTACTCTAGCCAGGCGCAAAGTACCGGAAACATTCATATGATTAGAGGGAAAATGTTAGGAGGATCCAGTGGTCTCCATTACATGTACTATGTTAGGGGAAATAGAGCTGATTATGAGGAATGGACGCGATTAGGTAACCCAGGATGGGACTGGGAAAATGTGACACATTATTTCAAAAAGAGTGAACACTTATTAGATCCTGTTATTCTAAATAGTACAACGGCATATCTGCATGGAAAAGACGGTTATATGCATGTTATCCGACCGGTTTGGAAAGGCAGACCTGAAAGATATTTGGAAGCTTTCGAAGAAATAGGTAACAAGGTTTACCTCGACACAAACGGTATTGAACAAAACGGATTTTCGTATCCAACGTTTACGATCGGTGATAACTTAAGACAAAGTACAGCGGTCGCTTTTCTAAAACCTATCTTGGATAGAAACAATTTACACTTATTAAAGAACGCGTTAGCCAGAAAATTAATTTTTGATAATGATAAAAATGTCGTCGGAGTAGAAGTAAAATTATCAAGTAATAAAATTATAACCGTTAAAGCAAATAAAGAAGTAATTTTATCAGCAGGTGCTGTAAACAGCCCGCAACTATTAATGCTCTCTGGAATAGGACCAAAAGATCATTTAGATAAAATTGGAATTGAAACATTAGTAGATTCACCTAAGGTTGGAAAAAATATGCAAGATCATCCGTTAGTTCCTGTATTGTTAAATGGGGAGAAAGATTTACGCTCATTTATTGAGATAGTGAACGTCTTTAGAAATTTAGACAAGTTTCCAGTGGCGAGTTTGATCGGACACGTCGCTTTGGACAAATCGCAAACGTATCCAGATTACCAAGCGACAGTTTTTCCTCAACATAGAGGATCTATATTGCCTCTATTTATGTGCAAAAACGTTTTCCAATGGAACGATAAAGTATGTACGGCTATGGGAAAAGCTGTTTTAAGACAAGAAGTAGCATTTGCTGTGTTAACTTTATTGCATCCGGCGTCAAAAGGTAAAATTGAATTGAAAAGTCGCAATCCTGAAGATTCACCTCTAATACATTCTGGTTTTTTTTCTGATGTAAACGATATTGATAAATTTGCAAGATGTGTCGAAGATTATACTAAAGTATTAAATTCGTCGTATCATCGAAGTTGTGCGGCGGAAGTTGTGGATTTGAATCTCGATGAATGCGCTGAATTACCGTTTGGAAGTCATGAATACTGGAAATGTTATGTTTTAAATCTGTCAGGTACACAGTTTCATCCGGTAGGTACTTGCGCGATGGGATCTGATGGGGTTGTGGATGAAAGGTTAAGAGTAAAGGGTGTAAAGGGGCTACGTGTAGTAGACGCCAGTGTGATGCCAATTATTACTAGCGGAAATACAAATGCCCCCATCGTGATGATAGCAGAGAAAGCAGCTGATATGATTAAAGCAGATAATGGTTGTTAACAAAGAAGCAATGTAATAGTAAATAAATAATTTGACACTCTTTTGTTTTCAATAAAAACATCCATTCCGTTTTAGGTATCCGATGGAAACGATTTGAAGAGAGCTTGCACTTAATAGCAGTATTCATTTAACAGTAGTCCCTTATTTGTGTCGTCAAGAATTATTGGTCCAATATTACATAAGTTAATTAGAAAAAATTAAAAAGCACAGCCTTTTTTCCTTCGTTATCATTAACCTTTGCCTATTTTTAATTTTCTTTTCATGTCAGTCAGTGACAGTGACATTTCATTTTGACAGGAATTTGTAGAAAGTGAGGTTATATTTTATTTAAAAGCGCTATAATGAATAAATGTTTCCAATTTTTTATTAATAAATAATGAGTACTAATAGTTTTAATACTCAAAGGTTTTAATAATGTCGAAACTACGTCACCTGTTTAATACATCGTACTGCCGGTATAGTATCCAGCAAGCAAAGAAAAAGTTGCCCATAATATCTTGCAAACGACCCGAGTTTAATCATTACGAGGGCCAAACGTATAGTAAATTCGATGGAATTAAATTAGCGTCCAAAGGTTGGATGAGTGCTAAATCAAAGAATGATTATTTTACTATCTACTATGATGTTAATAAAAAGGAACAACAACCAGTATACAGAAAGAGTTTCGAAGAAATCGGCATTTGTAATGAGCTAAGTGAGATTATGTTGGCTCAAGGATTTGAATTACCAACTTTAATACAGACAAAAGCCATTCCATCTATTCTTCAAGGATATAATTCAGTGATAACAGCGGAAACCGGTTGTGGAAAAACACTGGGTTACTTGTTGCCGATTTTCCAGCATATTTTAGAATGGAAACCTCATATGAAGGAGGAATTCAACAGTCCTCTAGCTGTTGTATTAACTCCTAGTAGAGAATTAGGTAAGATATATCTATTTATTAAAATAAGATACCATATTGAAGAGTCAATGTTTGCTGAAATGACACAATTTAACTGCCTCTTGAATCTTTAAATTAAATATTTTATAATTAATAGAGGTTTATTCTGAAAAGCACAATTATTATATTTTTTTAGCAAGTCAAATAGGCCAGGTTGCGGAGAGCATAGCACAGAACATCAATATCAATGTCACAACTTTAATCGGAGGAAAAACTAAGCAAAAAATACTGAATCCTCCAATAGAGTACTCTGACATCTTGGTCACAACTCTGGGTGCATACAGCAAGTTGGTAACAACTGGTATTTACAAGGTGCATAATGTACATCATGTGGTACTTGATGAAGCAGACACATTACTTGATGATACTTTTATTGGGAAAGTCGAGAATTTGTTGAAGAAATTCGGGGTAAGTCATATAATATTTAAAATAAACCAAGCTAATTCTAGGTGCTTCATTCTAAGCAACTATGAGTAGTGCTGAGGCACATATTTTGCGATTTAACTATTTCACAGATTTTAACTAACCCAGGAATGCTAGTTATGCTTACAATGCTAGAAGTTTGTAAGAAAAAGATTTGTTCAGTATTGTCAAGTGCTTTGATATTTAGATTTTTGACATTAACAGTATGTTTAACTATTTTTTTCTAATTAATTCAGATCCATTACAAAGTTCAAGTACAAGTTCCGCCAGTTGGATGTCAGTTGACCCTAGTGAGTGCTACCATGCCCCATGAGCTGCCGGAGTCCGTCAACTCATTTGTAGAACCCCAGTCCTTGAGGACAATATCAACAACTAATATACACAAGTTACTGCCTCATGTGCCACAAAAGTAAGTACTTACACAAGAAGTTAGAAGATTTATATGTCTCGTCAAACAATATGCGATATGTTCTTTAAGTATTTGAATGAATACACAGTTTTGAAGTGCTTTATGAGTCCTAAGTAAAAAAAAATAAAAAAAAATCATTTTTTGAATAAGAATGACTAATAGAATCTTTTTTAGTGCTGTTTTTATTGTGCTATAAAACACCAATACATTTCATATGTATTTATGCTTGCTTTTGTTTTTTTTTTCAGATTCATTCGTCTGGGTAAAGCACAGAAACCTGTAGAGTTGTTGAAATTAGTACAAGCTGATGTGAACCAAAAAAGACCTGTTATGATTTTTTCGAACAAAACATCGACATGTGATTTTGTCTCAATGTTTTTAAACGAAAATAACATAGAATGTGTCAATATTAATGGACAAATGGCAGTTCCGTTGAAACAAGGAAAGTTTGAATTATTTAACAATGGATCAGTTAATGTACTATCTTGTACAGATATTGCTTCACGTGGATTGGATACAATACGGGTTTGTATACTTTTGTTCCTACATAAATTTTTCTGCATAAAATTGCGTTAATTTTTTTTTCAGGCGTCTTTTTTTGTACATTTTTTCTTTCTTATAATTTTTTTATACTAGATACATACATTCAATATTATTCTATTTGTTTTACTAACAATTTATGTTGTCACGTTCTTTTGATGTGATCTATTTTTATTGCTAAGCTTTTTTTTTACATTTTTTTTTACTTTTGTTTTTTTATGAAAACTGACAGGGCTAATTTTTTTTCAGACTCGTCATATAATTAATTACGATTTCCCTTTATACATTGCTGATTACATTCACCGTTGTGGTCGGACCGGACGTATCGGTTCCGCGAACGATTGTGCGGTCACAAACTTTGTCGCCTGGCCGAGGGAGATTAACGTAGTCCAGAAAATAGAGACCTCTGTAAGGAAGGGTAATGACTTACCCAACGTCAACGCGAACATACGAAGACAGATAGAAGATAGGATAGCTAGGATGACTGGAGTTGGGATTTAACACTTTGGATGCCATATTTTTTAATAAAGTAGGGTCTGGCAGTGTACATGTTAAAATAGATGTAAGAATAGATTTTTTTGTAATTGTTAACAATTTAAGTGTTAATAAAATTTAAATAGATTTTGTTTAGTTTTAATTCTAACAGCCTTACAAATAAACGCAGTATAAAGTTAAACTTAGGAATAAACTGATAATAAGTAAAATTTGTACTATTTGTTTATACTCTGTTTGTTCCTAAGATTAATTTTATACCGCGATCAGTATCGGCAACTGATGATGTTGTAGGTTTCACGAAGACTGCGGTTGTATTCTGAGATACGTTTCTTGAAGTGACGCGCCTAGTCTGCACACCGATATAATCGTCACATCAAGAAACGAAATTTATTTGTTTGTAAGACAGTTTCCCTTTTATACCTATTTTTTATTATGATAATAAAGACAGAAAAGATGTGGAGGAGATTTAAATTAATAAATTGTTTCATTTAATAAATGTTTTCAAGATTTCCTGAACATGAATTTACCGAATAATTTTTAATAATTCAGGGTTATAAGGCAATAAAACTACTTCTGTTCTATAAATTTAATCACAAATATACACACTTGTATCTATTTGTTATAACATTGATATCGATGGCTCCTATGTAAACAGCTGTAAGACACAATTTTAGCAATCATTTTGTTAATGAAGTCATTTTCTAAATCTAAAATAAAAAAGTAGATATCGATTGTCTATCTTTTTTTGTGACTGAATGGCCACTGTTTGCCTTGAAGAGGCATTCACAGATTCACCGGGCTTGAGGTGGCCGAGCGCAGATGGCCCTTAGCCTAAACCTCGTTTATGAGTAACTAAGTTCCCGGACTCCCACAGGAGCCTCGGCACGAGCCGTTACTTTGTTATTAAGATTGTCTATCTTTTTTTTTTTTTTTTGTGACTGATTTGTCACTGTTTGCCTTGAAGAGGCATTTACAGATTCACCGGGCTTGAGGTGGCCGAGCGCAGATGGCGCTTAGCCTAAACCTCGTTTATGAGTAACTAAGTTCCCGGACTCCCTCAGGAGCCTCGGCACGAGCCGTTACTTTGTTATTAAGATTGTCTATCATTTCTCATCTTGCTTTTATATTTACTTAGGAACCATAGGTAATATGTTTAGTTTGTAAATATTGAACACTATATTAATATTAAGCGTAAGTCATACAGAAGACAAATGTTAAATTATTTATTTATCTGAACAGGGGGTAGTAATAGTTTAGACAATAGAAAAAGTGGTAGAGTCCGCTTTAACATCTTAGCACTGCAGGGCCGGTTCGCCCGGTGTAATACCACGACCACACAGAAGACAGGCGTGAAGAGGAAGCAATTCCGCGTTTCGCCTGATGAGTGTGGTGCCGGAGGCCTAATTTTAATCCCCTTCCCTTTCCACCCTTTTCTTAAAGAGGAATGTATGGGAAGGAAAAGTGGATTTGACGGTGGAGAAGACTCATAGGAAGGGGAAATGTCCTCTTTATGTGCATCTCCTCCTCCGTCAATTAAGGGTAGACAGCGCATCTGCAATTGCGGATGTCTATGGGCAGCGGTCGCTTTCCATTTCGGTGGATTCAGGTGGCCGCTTGCTCGTTTGCCACCTTATATTATAAAAAAAACCGCGATTATACGAAAAATTACTAATACGAAAATACGATTTCTAAAATTAATTGGGCCTAGTAGTTTTGATTGCAACCCTAAATAATGTCAACAGAGCCACGACACAATGATAGCAGTTATGTTGAATTTTTTTTATTTATAAAAAATATAAAATAAACATAGTGAAACATAAGGGTAGCTGAGTCTTCTGTATGAAATGCTTAAATTTTGTATATGACAGAAATACTAATACATCTAAAAATATTTTAAACGAAACATTTTTAAGAAATTCTAATACCTAGTGCTCTAAAACTTTATACCTATATAATATACATTAATATTGCTTTTAAACACTTTTAATACGTCTTGTATAATCCCTTATTTTGATATGATTAATAATAAATAGTGTACATTCTTACATAATACAAATATTAAAATCTGTACTTAACGAAGATTCAATAAAATTCAAGGTTCTGTTTAAAGTTTTAAGAATTTAGAAACAAATTTTGTATATGTTTTTCTGAATACATGTTATTTGAAAAATTATTTAAAGACAATATATTTTGTAATTGTCCAAATTGTTTGTTAAAAATTTTATTACATTAATATCAATCTAGGCCAGAATTCACACGAACTACAGAAAAAGTGGTTTATTAAAATATCTTTTATAATCTACTTACTACATCGATATACAACATGTATATGTTTGGCGAATAGTTTATAAATTTGGCACACAATATATCGAGATAGTTTGTTTAAGTCCCCGAAGGTCCAGGTATTGCGTCTTCTGTGGATTTCCATCTACTCTCTATCGTAGCCCTGGTCTTTTCCTGGTTAGAAACATTCTGGTGACTGAACCTTCGCTGTTCGTCGAACGCTCCAGATAGGTTAAAGACGCTGTCTGCGCTGGCCTTCCTGCGGCCGTGCAGCGCGGAGAGGCTGGCCGCGCTCGGAGCTATCCTGTGAGGAAACCTCGGTGAACCTTTTATCCTCTCACTGGAGTTCTGTTGGGACATCGATTTCCTATGACCGGTGGGTAGGACGAAGTTTACTCTAGTCTCCGGCTCCGCGACGTACTTGTTCGTCGAGGGTATACTCCTTTCGGACGAGTACTTCGAACGAGACGGTTCGTCGTCGATGATTCTGATGATGGGGCCGCTTTTAGCGTACGATTCTCTTCTTAATTTGGTCTCCGGGTTGGGCACGTTAAGAGTGTTACAGGAGAGGACCAGGGGGCGGTTCCCGTGCGGCACGAGGCCGGCGAGCATGCCGACGTGCATGCGGAGCGCGGCCGCGATGCTCTGGCCGGTGGGGTCCGCTATGGACATCGTGGACGCCTTTCTACTCGACGGTCTACTACCGAAGAAATTTTTTAATCTACTGAGGAAGCCGTGGTTCTCGTCTCTTTTGTTGAGGCAGAGGTTGTAGAGATCTATCGCCGGCTGAGATTTCCTATAGTTTAGTTTCGGTTGCGAGCTAAAGCTTACTGAGTTGTCGGCGCGGCCGGCGGCGGCGGCGGAGGGCCAGCTGGCGCGCGGGATGACCGGCGGCAGCACCGACAGCAGCAGCAGCGGCAGCCCGCCGCCGCCCACGCTGCCCGCCCTCTTCTGCAGACCGCTTCCTTTGCTCTCTTCCTCGACTGTATTTAGTTCCGTCTGAAATTTTGTAACAAGGAAATTGACTAGGTGTCAACAGTATGGTTCAAAGGCTAAGCTTGAAAGACTACCCACTCTCAGTAATCTATTTCTAGTCAAAAAACTTCTAATTTCTCTATTATGGTTTACTTTGATGTTTAAATGACTCTTGTGATAAACGAATGTGATTGACTACTGAAATGTCTTCTACGCTATTCACTCTTTGCACAGTCGTGAGGAAAATTAAACTGCTATCGTGTTATCTTTATGTTATTTAGTACCTGTACTGGTTTTCTGGATAATTAGCAACTAAAGGAGTACTTACCCGTCGATGCAGCGCTACTGAGGCACTGGAGCCGGCAGACTCCAAGGGCTCTGCGAGCAGCCTCTCTAACCTGCCGATCTCTCTGTCGAGCGCCGCCACCTCGCGCTTGTACACCTTATTCTGTATTTCTATTCTAAAATGCAACTCTTGAGTCTCGTCGGTTACGAATCTTCTAGTTTTACATTCCAGTCTCAAACCCATACTCTGGATTACTGGATCGTCTTCAGCTGGAAGGATAGACACATTGATTCTTTCATAAAACATAACTAATACTGAACATCTATATAAGACACAAGTTCATTTCTATTTTAAATCTTAAGATGAAAATTGTGTGAATATTACTCAGTCTATTGCTAAATATGAAATATCCAATATTAAGAAGAAAGAACGGATGTGATGCTATTTTCTAAAAGATTTCTGTCTTCTAATCTGCAAACGATGTCTGTGATGTACTAACAAAGTTTGTTTAAGTTATGCGCGATAAAAGAAAGCAACTTAACTCTTTTCACGTTGATATCCCTGGTTAATAAATAATCTTTCAAGTAAATATTTTAGAAATAATCTTTTAAATAAGTTAGAGAAGTTTTAGATATACATACTGTTACTTCTAATAGCGATAATCTTGGGCAGGAACAAGAGGCAGAGAGTGGAGGTGGTCGCGATGAGGATGAGACCGGTGATGGTGATGTAGGCTAGGGTGGCGCGCTCGGAGATGATGGTGCCGATGACGACGACGCTGGTGCTGGTGATGACGACGGAGTAGACGCTGATGCCGATGTACTTGGAGTCGTTGAGCGCGGAGATGTTGACGTGGCGCGTCTCCCACGCCATGTAGAGGCCCACGATCAGAAGCAGACCTTTGTAAGCGTACAGCGCGCAGAGCCAGCCTGTCATGTTTTGAGACTTGCACACTTCTATCTGGAAGAGGTGTGAGGTTAGTTGAACAATGTAAAACCGCCGTTTGTCTGAACTATCGCAACTGTTTAGTCTGTTGATTCCTAGGAGCTTATATGGAGCGCACATTACTCGGTTGTTTGTTGTGCAACTAAACAGTTGAGGCTAAACAATCAAAGTTTAGTCAAAGGTTCCAGATATCTTTAATAAAAAAGTTTTTTTTTTAACATAAAGTGGCAAACGAGCAAGCGGCCACCTGAATCCACCGAAATGGAAAGCGACCGCTGCACATAGACATCCGCAATTGCAGATGTGTTGCCTACCCTTCTTTGACGGAGAAGAAGACGCACATAAAGAGGACATTTCCCCTTCCTATGCGTCTCCTCCACCGTCAAATCCACTTTTCCTTCGAATCCTCTCCTCTTAAGAAAAGGGTGGAAAGGGAAAGGGATTATAATTAGGCCTCCGGCACCACACTCATCAGACGAAACGCGGAATTGCTTCCACTTCACGCCTGTCTTCTGTGTGTTCATGTTATTACACCGGGCGAGCCGGCCTATTCGTGAGAAGATGTTAAAGCGGGCTCTACCACTGTGATTTTTTTTCTCGTATTCTAAGTGTTTATCAGATTTCGTCTTTTCATCTCCAGGGTTTCGAGCATATTCATCAGCAGTTTTTGGAATTGAAAGATTTGAGGCTGATCTATACCATGCTTGTTTATTCTTCACTAGCTGTTGCTCGCGACTTCGATCGCGCGAAATTAGAAAATAATAAAAAAAAGCCTAACTTTCTCATAGATAAATCATCTTTCTCACGTAAGAAAAAACTATACTGTTTTTGCGTGGATCGAATACATTCGAAAATACAAAAATTCTTTCCTCTTTGTATAGATCGATTGAATATTGTGAAGAGGTGGGCCTGGTGGCGGCTGCAGACCTGCGGCTGGTAGAGCACGCCGCGGTCGGTGGCGCTGATCTCGAGGGTGAGGTTGCGGAGGTGGCGCTCCATGGGGTCCAGCACGGCCCACAGCGTCACCACCAGCGCGTCCAGCAGCAGCAGCGCGCACACCAGCGCTATCAGCGGCGTGTCCTGCAGCAGCTTCGTCTTGCACACGCCACTTCGGTTGCTACACAAAATGCGACTATCTTTACTCTGTTTAAATAAAAATCCTGGTGAACTTTCAAAATTACAGAATTTTTTAACTTTAAACTATCGTGATTTTTACAAATATGGTGTTGCTAAGAAACAAGTTTCTTACCACGATTGGGTTGTTTTACCTCCCGATTGTGGTAAGAAACCCGTACCTTCCAACCATCATATTTGTAATGAAAATAAATATTATAGCATAATTTTTTTTCTATACATTTTATAAGTTTTCATTCTAATTCGAAAATCTTCACATCAAACCCACCTTATAAAAATTCGATGAACTCTGTAAGTTTTGGCAAACATTGACCCAAACGCTAAAGAGAATCCCGCCGATAGAATGTAAACCCTTCCCTGGAAGTAGACAAAATGGTAATTATGTTTTTTTATATCACGTAGTGGCAAACGAGCAAGTGCCCATAGATATCGGAAATTGCTGATTTGTTGTCTACCCTTATTGACGGTGAGGAGATTTCCTATGCGGTCTCCTTTACCATCACATCCATTTACCCTTCCCATCGTTTCCTTACAACAACAGAGTGGAAATGAAAAGCACCACATTCATTTGACGATACGCGGAATTACTTCCACTTCACGCCTGTCTTTGTGGTTGTGGTATTACTGGCGAGACCTACAGTGCGAACATGCTAAAGCGGGTTCTACCACTAAAATTGGTTTTACTGATCTCTTATTTATTACATAGATATATATTGGCTTTGTCCTCAGGATACAGTCGAGGGCAGTACTTACAGTGCACATGGCGGAAAATGGCACGAAGGAAGGCAGGGTGGCATTGTCGACTCCAAGCAATGCCACCGCCGTGTACACTAACACGCATCCGATGAGGGTCATGTTGTTGAGGCGAGGCGAGGACAACTTTATTGATCTGCAGAAATAAAATACATAAATGGAGTCAAGAACTGGAAAAGGAAATACAGCAGCCATAGAGAAATTTACTGGATTAGA